GCCTGTTGGACAGGAGTCAATTTGGACTTTTCAGAGTTGAACATCGGGCCTAATTTCTGTAGGGTCTCAAGAATCAATGAGACATGCTGTAAGAGAAGATCCCTAGAAGGGGTAGCAATCAGCCAATCATTGAGGTAGGGGTAGATAGTATAGCCCCTGAGCCCCAAGATCTAAGATATACTGCCACAGCTATACACTTTCTAAACACACGTGGGGCTATAGCAAGCTGTAGTGTTTCACAGAAATGTGTGGCTTAATTCCACTGCGTCAGAAAATCGAGGGCCTTCCCTTTGAAGGTACTACCCTTTTGCTGCCAAAATAGACTATGTCCTTTCGCTCTGACCCTGGTGGAAGAATCTGCCGCATGCCTCCCTACGTTGGTCTGTTGCTTTGACAAATGCAAGGCTTCTGCTTGAAGAAGTTAGGCAAGTGATTTCTTGTTATGTAGGCGGTCAATAGAAGAGGACATCCTTTCTCATAAAAAGTGTTGGTAGCTGCCCATTACAGTGGCATGGTTGGCAATTGGAATGTTGAGAGCTGAAGAACATGCCTTTTTGCTGAGGCATTGATCTTGTGACTTACTCTGTCTTCAGGGGAAGAATGGACACCTGGTCGGTGATGAGCTTGCATTTCGTCTGCAATGAGGAATGATGGAGCTGGATGTGTGAATAGGTAAGGGCAAACCTCCCACTGTACCCTATAAAGATTTTCTACTCTTTTTGAAGTGGCAGGAATCTTGGATGGCTTTTCCTATATAGTGTTGGAAATATCTAAAATACCCTCTAACATAAGGAAGGTGATAGCTCCTGGGGACTCAGAGTAGAGCCTACCCAGTATTTTGTCCTTGGGTTTAGGAACTGACGACGTAACTTGGATTTCCAATATTTTGGCCATCCTAATAATTTGCTCAACATATAGATGTAAGTCTTCATTAGTTGAGATCAGATCTGTACTTCCTACGGTGTCATCTGGTGAAGGATCAGAAAGTGGACCAGAGCTCGGTTCCAATAGAGACAGCACTCTCATCTTCTGACTCTGAGAACATAAGTAGATCCTTTTCAGGGGGCGGTACAGCAGCTGTCCAGCTTGATATAGGTGGATAGAAGTGATGTGCCTGAAGGAGAGGCTCAATTCCAGAGGATCTAGGATGATCACCCCATTCTTGAAGAAAGGGGGAAGGGCAATAGAAGGGATACTGTTGCCAGGGTTGAGGAGGGGTCACAGAAGGCCATGGAACTGGCCGAGTGGATTCCAAGATCGGTGTTGTATCCATCTGAGTTTGCGGGACTTGCAATTAGCCTCAGTCTCTCCCTCTGAACAGGATGGAGCCAGGGATTACGGGTGCAGCAATGGGACTCTCTGAGGTGAGGTTTCTGGAACTGATGCTGGAACCAACGGTGTCAGATCCACTGGAACTGATGAGGGGCCGAGGTCGCAGAGCACTTAGAGGCCATATGATGCTTATCATGGTGTCTCTCTTATGTTTGGATTTTGCTCTAGTCTTCTCAGGGGTGCTTCCAAAGCAGAGCAAGACTGCCTAGGCAATTTGGAATGATGCAAGACTGGAGCCAAACTCAGACCCGATGGAACCAATATGATCGAGGGTGGGTATGACGGTTGGTTGGTTAAGGCAGGAGACTTTCTGTCAAGAGTATGTTTCACTCCACTGAAGTGGAAGACTTTGCTGTCGAGCTCTCAGGGCATGAAAGGAATTTCCCCCAAACGCTAGCCTTCAGTTGTGCTGCTCTGATGGATCTTGCCTTCGGTGTGAACTGGAGGCAATGTTTGCAGCTGACTGTACTGTGTCCTTTGCTGAGGCAAAGGGGACAGAGGGAATGCCTGTCGGAGTGGGTCATTTTAGTTCCACACTGGGAACATTTCTTTAAAAGTGCCTTCTAGAACATAGCTGTTCTAAGGAGGTCACAATGAGATAAGGAGAAGCTGGTGACAAGAAAAAATGGCAGCAAGAACTGAGGGAAGGGAGCCCCTCCCAGGAGCATGTGGCTGTTTGGGTGGGAAGATGTACCTCCAGCTCAGGGGAGAGGGGCTCCCTTCAGCTTTTTATAGAGAGGGATGGAAGAAGGGGGGGGAGGGGGATTGGATTGATAACCTGCCCTTCACTACCCAAAGGAGTCTCAGAGTGGCTTATAATCCTTTTCCCTTCCCCTCCCCACAAAGTGGGGCTGAGAGAGCTCTCTTGAGAACAGCCCTTGAGAGAACAGCTCTGAAAGAACTTATGACTGACCCAAGGTCACACCAGCAGCTACATGTGGAGAAGAGGGGAATCAAACCTGGTTCTCCCAGATTAGAGTCTGCCTCTTAACCACTACACCAAACTGGCTGGAAAAGCTGGGAAGGAATCCTCTGGTGGCTGGCCTGGGACTGCACAGAAGACCGGAGACTGCACAGAAGACCAAAGATAAACGACTGTTCTCAGTAACAGTTGATGGGAATAGTTCAATGTCCAAGCACTACAATAATCCAGTTCTTGTGCTGAAAGAAAGTTAGACTACTAGTAAGGGAAGAATACCAAAGCATACAGGCAGGTACTACTGGTGTCTAATGAGAACAGTATCCACAAACAATGACAATGGTAACCTCTTCGTAGTACATTGCTTGTTAGCAAGATCTTGGGAATTCCTATAACAACAATTTTTTTAAAATAATGCCCTATGTATGTCACTTTAATTGATGTTTTCCTAACCATGTTTAATTTGCTGAGAGATTCTTGGTATTCATCTACAGCAGATTCATGGCTTAGAAAACCAGGACTGGGTCAAGAAAAGTCCCCACAAATCCAAATATGAGAACTGCCCAAAATGCCCAATGAAATAATACTCAGAGGAATGAGCAAAATCATAAACTGCCACATCAATCCTAAACACTGTTACTTTCAAATCAAGAAGAGAAAATAAAAGAAAATGGAGGGAAAAACTACAGTCTGTGGTGGGGAGGGACAAGGGGACACCAAATTATGAGAAATATGACCTTTCTCTATAGCCTAACTCAAATGTTTCTTCAGATGAACTGTGTGCTGCAAAGTAATGCTTAATTACTGCTGCAGAAGCCTCTTAATTAGGATGCCCCAGTGGACAGAGCTTTCATCCTTATTAAAGGGAATTTACAATTAAAAGGCATTGTGTTAACCATAATGCTGCTGTCTGGGGACCTCCAGAACCCTCCGCGTTCCTGCAGAGGCTCATCTCATTGGGAAGAAGCAATAAGAGAAGCAAAGCTCTCTTTGTGCCCAGGGCAAGGGCAACAGTTACTGGAATGAAAGCACTGTGGTGCAAAAGCCCCTTGTGTGGTGGAACAGTTTGATTTGAGTCCACTAGCACCTTAGAGACCAACAAGAGTTTCTGAGTTGTGTTGTGGAAGTGCTGAATCAAGAGATTGTTATTATCAAGTACACCAACACCAACATCCAAAGCACATTTATTTAAAAGTCGTCCCACTGATTTCCATGGGACTTCCTTCTGAGCGAAAGAAAGAAAGAAAGAAAGAAAGAAAGAAAGAAAGAAAGAAAGAAAGAAAGAAAGAAAGAAAGAAAGAAAGAAAAAGAGGATCTGACCATAAATCAAGTATTTCTAAAGGTTGCTGTGACAAGTTTCATGTGGATACTCTGACTCTTCCCGAGTGCAGCTGAATTAAAGCAAAGATGAGAAGGGGGGGGGGGGGATAAAGGCTTTAAAAGTTACTGATTTGTCCGCACTTCTCAGCTCTGTGAGTTACCAAGCTAGGAACTGTGAGATGTCTCTAATGGAGAAGTTTGCATTATGCTCAGTAACTGTTTACAGCTTGAGAATTTCGGCTTCCAACTAATCCCCCAAGAATTCCTTGCCAAGAATAAAAGTAATTACAGGGTTCAAAATTGTAATGCTTTCTCACACAATTAAGGGCATTTTCTGTGGTGAAAACGGTCCAAGGGCATGGTTACTGTCTTATCTGGAAAGAGCCATAGGCAAGATCCTACATCTGTATCTCCATTCAAAATACCAAACTATGTAATCATATCACAATTCTTTTTCATTTGATTCTCTCTCCTTATTTGCTCCTTTAACCCTGATTCTGCAAACAGCTAGGATATGCTGTGTTATTACAGTGTGTTGGGGGGCAAAAACACCCGTAATGTAGTAAATGTCTATTATGTGAATGGATGGCGGGACTGGGACCTAGGGAACAGCCTTCACTTGAGCATATTTTTTGAAAATGAGACTCAATGATCAATGCAATAACTGAACATATATATATATATAGATGATTTATAAAACAGTTGTTTAATAATGCTTGTTAAATGCACAAGTTTAATTCATAAATACAGATGAACTAGTACAAAAATTAAAAAGGGGGAAATTGATTTCTTTATAAATGTATTAAATTCCAATGGCCGCCTCTCATATGATCAGATGGGTTGATATCAGTGCAGTCAGAACAATTTCCAAACACTAATGCTAATCCACTAATGCTATGTTAGAGGGATGTGCCTTCCCTCCCACTCAACAGCATCTTCTTGAGAAACTAAATAAAATCTTTGGTGCTGTAATAAAAACATATTGAAAGCTCCAGTAATTAATATGGGAAAGAAGGCGAAGAAAACCACACACAAAAGCTAATGCTGAAACTTCCACATTCAGATGCAGAGTGTAACTGACTAGTTTGTCTATGACGGTGGGGAACATGAGGCGCCACATCATCGCTTGCAACTAGATCCAACTGGTTATGTTTACAATAAAATGATTATGGATTTGATACTGACCTTAAACGGGAGCAGAACACATCTGATATGAAAACTGGACAGGAGGGCGGGTATGTGTGTGTGGGGGAGCAGAGGTCCATCAGTGGCTATTAGCCACAAGGTATAGATAGGGGCTCTGGGGCAAGGGATGCTCTGTCTTCTTGGTGCCTGGGGGGTGGGGGGCAACAGTGGAAGGACTTCTAGTGTCCTGGCCCCACTGGTGGACCTCCTGATGGCACCTGGTATTTTTGGCCACTGTGTGATACAGAGTGGTGGACTGGATGGGCCTTTGGCCTGATCCAACATTGGCGTCTCTTATGTTTTTATGGGAGATGAAGGTCTGTTTTGCAAAAGTATGCTAAAATGGGACTGCGAACCTTCCTATTTCAGCAGAGAGCACAGCAGAGTGTTCTTTTAAAAGAGAGAGCTTACATAATGCAAGATTATCCACCTTTAAAACAAAAGGTGTTTTCCCATCCACCTTAACTATCGAAGGATTACTCATTTGGCTAAATAGGTGTTGTGTTGAAACAGCCAAAAGGAAACACTGATGAACAAACATGCTACTCCATGCTTGACAGTGCTCCCTCATGCTGCAATTAAGACAATGGCAGTGAGTGAAAGAGTGCTGCCACAATTGTGGGGGAAGCAAATCACAGTCACTTGATTGAGTCTGCTGGTGGGGCCAAATGTTCCCACGGAGTCCGCCATCAGGCATTAACCAGTCCAAGGGTTGTTCAAGGCCCCCACCCCGGCATTTAAAATTAAGTACCTACAGAAACCTAATCTCTGTTTCTAGGCTCTCTCTCTCTGTCCAGTGATTATTAAAACTTATTATTATTTTGCAGCATGGTTAACATCAGTGCATAACCAGATGACCCTGAAATCAATGCGTTCAGCACAGCTGCTGAGCAACCTCCATTCATGTCCAATGAACTCTTCTTGTTGGATTTCTCCCATTCTCCATTAGAAGTTAACACAGTGCAAATTTCCAATATCTCTCGGGACAATCTGTGAGAAGATTTTAGCATGACAGGAATGTCTCACAATAAGGCTTACCAAAAAACCCATGGTTCACTACGTACAGCACGGTATGGGTCTCTAAGTACAGCAAGTCTAAGGAAAGCAGCATCTCATGCCCGTGCATATTTGCATTTAAACTAAGAACAGTAAAGCTAATGAAAAACAACGAGAAAATCTTCTACCTAAAAAAATTCACGAAGGTAATCTGAACGGTGATTTTTCTTTTGTTGTAAAGTCCAAAGAAACATCCTGATCAGCAACTGAGGCAGCAATTCTCTTTCTTTTGAGCACCAGTGATTGCATGTGAATAGAAAGAGACCTAAAATAACCAGGGGGTTGTGGTGCTTTTGCAAAATGTACTGTCCATCTTTCCACTGTGATGATCTTCACAAAAATAATCATTACAACATGAGTTCAGTACTGTTAATGTCTTCCACGTCCACCTTCAAAGGCATGATGCTCTTTGTGAGCTGAAAGACAAAAGCAATCTCGGTATTAAACCAGTGGTGAAATGGTACGGACCGCAAACTCCACTCACCCTGCGTGCCGATACGACTTACGTTTATAAAAAACTGCCTTAAAAGATGTGTGTGGCAGAAGTTCATAGATCTTTTCTAAAACTGTTGCTTCGCTTGCTAATGAGGCATTTACATTCCACACTTGAACGACATCTTCCCGGTCACGAACGCTGACACTAACCCCTATTACTTCATCACCTGCCAAGAGGAAAAAAGAGTATTATTATTTTTAAAAAGGTATCCTTAAGTTAGAAATAAGACTGGATGGTTTTACCCCCAAATCAAAGGAGAAGCAAGAACTCCAAGCTTGAACTGAGGGTCTTGTTGAAAGAAAGTTAATGTATGTATTTTAGATGCTGCTGTAAAAATTCTACCATGAAGTTATACGGTCAGCCTTACTTCTGACAGGATTGCTTTTGACAGCAATGTCAACACTTCATATATGGAGATCTTAGAAATATATTTTCCAGTGTGTTATCAGAGTGGGCTTTTATGTTTGTTTGTTCTAAGCCAGCATGATGTTTGTCTGAAGAGTGGAGACCTGGGAGAAGACTGAGCTCTTTCATTTCACAGGACTTTCCTAATTAGAACAATGAAAACAACACGAATGTGATTTTTACTACAGATACTGGAAATAATTTTGTTTGCCACTACAAAGACTCGATAACTATATATAGGTGCTAAGTGCAAAGAGCACTAGTTTCTGTTTGATACAAAATTGGACTTTTGACTGAGCCCGCTTGCAGGGAGGGCGGGCTATAAATCGAACATAAATAAATAAATAAATATATGCAGAATTTTACACAAGAAGCATTTAGGAAGCATCTAGCTTATTCTTTTCTAATGCTAGCAAATAATAAATAGTGGAAAGAAGTATAAATGCTATGTAGCCCTAAACTGCTCTAAAATAGAAACTTTATTAACAATAGTACAAGGATTCCGGATATGATCTTATTTGATAATATGATTGTTTGTTTGATTTTTTAATTATGACAGATGTGCATAATTGATTCCACGGCTGCATATAGAGCCAGGAGCCGCGTTACTTGTGAGACATTCACATCGTCCCTGCAACTGTTTATGCATTGATTTATACTACATGGCTCTTTTTGCGGGCAGTTCAAAGTAATGAGCCGGGTTTCATCCACGACTCTTTTTTGGATGTTTATGTTGGAATGTTGATTGTAACATTTCTTGTTATCATTCTTGCTTGGTCTTTAATATACTTGGTAGTATTGTTAATACTGCCAACCTAGCAGTTCGAAAGCAAGAAACTGCAAGTAGATAAATAAGTACCACTTCGGTGGGAAGGTAACAGCATTCCGTGCGCCTTGGTGTTTAGTCATGCCGGCCACATGACCACGGAAACGTCTTTGGACAGCGCTGGCTCTTCGGCTTTGAAACGGAGATGAGCACCGCAACCCTAGAGTCGGATTCGACTGGCTTTCGAGCAAGGGAACCTTTACCTTTTACCTTTATTGTTAATAAGGTTTCTATTTTAGAGCAGTTTAGGGCTACATAGCGTTTATACTCCCTTCCACTGATTTGGCTGTGTTCCCGGTGTTTCCTAGCAAATAATAAATAGTCAGATCATTGATTTATGGAGATCAGTATTGTCTACTTTGTGTGGCTGTGGCTCTCTAGAGTTTCACATCACCTACTGCCTGATCCTTTTGACTGAAGATGCCATGGATGGAACCTGGGACCTTTTGAACACACAGGTGGTGCTCTACCAGTGCTCCCTCCCCAAGGCTGGCTACACTAGGAATCAACACGTGAAAGACGCCTCGAAGACTGGTTGCCAATTCTGGCTTGGAAGATTCCGGGAGATGTAGGGGTGGTGTCTGGGGAAGGTAACTCGGGGTGGAGAGGGAAGCTCAGTGTGATACCGCAGATGCCACCCTCCCAAGCTGCCATTTTCTCCAGAGGAGCTGATCTCTGGATTCTGGAGATCTTTTGTAATTCCAGGAAAACTCAAGGCACCGTCTGGAAGTTAGAAACCCTAGGTACTGACCGGGAAGAAGAGAAGAGACTGAGACTGGATTTATACCCCATCCTTCACTACCCAGAGGAGTCTCAGAGTGGTTTACAATCTCCTTTCCCTTCCCCTCCCCACAACAAACACCCTGTGAGGCAGGTGGGGCTGAGGGAGAGAACAGCTGAGAGAGAGAACAGCTCTGAAAGAACTTATAACTGAAGGGACATTTCACTTGGACATAAGGGTGCCTAAGTGTTTTGATTTGCATTTGATGATGGTATTTGGCAAAACATTTCTGTCTCAATGCTGTTTTTACACAGTCAAGTACAATTGTGCTTTTCGAGACCTCTGGCACGTAGTAACTTTTGTGTTGCCTTACTGAGGTGTCCCTCCTCTTTTTCGCTCTTTTTGTTCTTAATGTTGCCCTGTGCAAAATAAAAACAAATTGGGGGGGGGGGGAAGGAAATTTCTTACCTCCGGCACAGCGGTCTGCGAACTGTTCCCCAATAGTTGCTAACAATAACTCTTTCCAAACTGCGGACTAACAAAACAAAACATATTTAGATTTTTGTTACATTCAAGATTAGGTATGCAGCCTGCACTGTAATACACTAACCGTGTTAACAAACACTGTGCTATTATAGTGTGTGTCTTGTTATAAACTTCACATTAATTGCAATAAGAACATCACTCCAACTGTTGTTATTATTATTTATTAAATACTAGGAAAAAGGCCCGTTGTGGAAATAAATCAAGAAAGAGGCTCTGGGCGGGTGCCCCAGCCTTGGACACTCAGTGTCAATTTGCTGTGGTGACCTCAGCAGGGTATAATGACACTGAGTCCACCATTTTCTCCAGAGGAACTGATCTCTGCTACCTAAAGAACAGTTGTAATTTTGAGTGATCTCCAGCCCTCACCTGGAGATTGGCAAAGATGGTTCCCCAGAAGGGAATAGTTGGTTTGGAGGGTGGAGTCTATGATTTCCCCCTCACTCTTCAGCTTTCCACCCCCCCACACACCTGCAGCCTCTCCCGTGCTCTGAAGCCCTGACTGCTACGGCACATTGGCTGTCATACGGGGGCCATCCTCAGCAGCATATAAGGATACAGAGCCCACCATTTTCTCCAGGGGAACTGATCTCTGCCATCTGGAAAGCAGTTGTAATTCTGAATGATTTCCAGCCCTCACCTGGAGATTGGACCCATTTTACCTCAGAACAGCAAAACTGTTGAGAATGTTAGAGGCAAAAGCCAATCAAGTCGCATATGCAAACGACCTCTGTGTTCCGAGGCAGAGGCCAATGAGGCTGCATATGCAAATAACCTCTGTGTTCTGACTGGCTATGGGGGGGAGAGGAAAAGCAAAATGTTTAGAATGTTGGAGGCAGGACTCAGGCAAAGCAGCCAGTGGATAGGGAGACCCTCTGAATGACAGATCAGAGAGCGAACTGATTTTGGAGCGTGTGGAATGTTCTAGAGAAGTGCCACCACCATTCGGCTTTTATTTATAAGGGAGATGTGGATCGCCCAATCCCTGGTACTGCAGGGCTCTGGGCGATGTACAACGTTTGATAAAAAAACATCAAAACCATAGAATAAAATGCATAAACAGTACTAATACAGCAAGTCTAAAAGAATCAGATGGTGATGTTTCTTCTCATTCCAGACTGTGGCTACCCCATGGGTGGGGGGGGGAGAGGAACAGAGCAGTCTGGAGAGGAGGCCAGCCAGGATGGAAACCATTGCTGTCCTCAACCAAAAGCCTGTGTCTTTTTACTCTGAATATATCCAATGTTTATTAAAAGCATGCTCTTACAAAATGGCAAAAGGCAAACTTCTCTGCTTTTGTCAACCTTTTCCTCCAAAATTCTCCCCAAAAGGAAAGACCACAGAGCTCCTTTCTCTTTTACTACTATAGACAACTATTACAAGTCAAATTCAGAAAAGAATAAACTCACCACACTAGAAACAAAATAGATTTAGGGAGCAACTCTAAACCCCGCCTCTGAACAATTTAGGAAAATGACTAATCCCTACAGTGAAAATACATTGGTGTTGTGCTGGTGTAAGCACCAGAACTGCCACAGAACTGGGCAGCGTCAGGCAAGGAGAAGCATTAGAGTTTAGACAGTGTCCTAAGCTTTTCCAATCTCCTCCCCAAACTCAGTGCAGTGGGAAAAAATTCCCAGACTTCACTGAGAATGAAAATACAATTGTCTTCAAGCCTCCTGCCACAAGCCACAGTGGTTACAGTGTCCGACTAGGATCTGAGACCCAAGTTTGAACATCCTCTGCCATGGAGGCTCACTGGAAGACCTCAGGTCAGCCACACATACTCTCAGCCTAACTTACTTCACGGGGTTGTTGTTGTTGTTGTGAGAATAATGTGGAGGAGGGAAGAGCAATGTTGTAAGCTGCTTTGGTTCCCCCACTGGGGAGAAAACCCCACTATAAATGTATAAATAAACAAAAATAAACACTGTTCTGCTCAAAACCCATACAGTTCTCCACCCCAGGACACAAATACAGCAGGGATGAGAAGGAAAGAAGCAGAAGAAAGAGGAGGAGAAGATTGGATTTATACCCCACCCTTCACTACCCAAGGGAGTCTTTGAGTGGCTTACAAACTCCTTTCTCTTCCTTTATTGTAGGTGGGGCTGAGAGAGCTCTCTCTCGAGAACTGCCCTTGAGAGAACAGCTCTTGACAGAACTATGGCTTGCCCAAGGTCATCCAGCAGGTGCAAGTGGAGGAGTGGGGAATTAAACCCGGTTCTCCAGATTAGAGTCCACGCACTTAACCACTACACCAAACCACTACAAAGGCTGCTGGGATGGAGAGAGCAGGTGGCAGTAAGTAGCCTTCTGTGTGCAGCTTAAGGACAGTGCTTCAGGGATTTCTGACCAAAAGACAACCAGAAATGGTGCTCATCCCAAGTGACTATATGGAGCTAGACCTTTACAGAGCCAGCCCTATGCAGAGTTTAAACCATGGACCACTGGTATGATACATACCTGTGCATTTCTACTGCACTATGCTTTTTTCTACAGTCCTCCCTGTCCTGATTTATATGGCAGATTTCACAGCCATGGCTGCTGGAGAATTCCTCACTCACTATGCTGCGTCTGTCAGCTGTGCACCCAGCTGGGTATGCGACGAAAGGACTGTGCCCAAGTGTGTGAGCTGTGGGTTCTAGTCTGGCTTCTTCCTTCTGTTTTCCTGCTGACTGGCCTGTTGTCGGCCATAAGGTGAGTTTTGCATTCTTGACAGCATTCCTGGTGGCTGGATTCAGACCCATGCCTCCTGTACGTCACATGGCTGCTTTCCTCCAGTGAGCTACAGAAGAGATATCAGGAATGCATTCTGGGAATGTGCACCTGTGTGGTCCCTAGCTGGTGTCCTAGTGTCTGTTTCCCCCCTCCCCGTGCAAAAGGCAAGGAGCTCCTGATCTGAACCCTGGCACGGCAGAGGTCTTGGATGTCCTATCTGTGGATGCACGGGGTTAAGGAGGCCAGTGTGGCTGTCTTCCCCGGGAAAATGCATCGACTTCTGCCAAATTCCCTGATGTGTTTTCATCTCAGGGCTCCTACTGTTCGTGATATGGTCCACCCTACAGTGGAGATGAGGGCTGTATTCCCCTTATTCCTTTGCTTGTTGTCTTCTCTGTGTGGGTGGTGGTGCACAAGGCATATTTATTTATAGAACTCACTGTTACTTCCACAGCAGGCTTTAAAAGGGTATTGGACAAATGTGTAAAGAATGGGTTAATCAATGGCTGTTTGCCTTGATAAAGGTAAAGGTAAAGGGTCCCTTGCTCGAAAGCCAGTCGAATCCGACTCTAGGGTTGCGGTGCTCATCTCCATTTCAAAGCCGAAGAGCCAGCGCTGTCCGAAGACGTTTCCGTGGTCATGTGGCCGGCATGACTAAACACCAAGGTGCACGGAACGCTGTTACCTTCCCACCGAAGTGGTACCTATTTATCTACTTGCAATTTCTTGCTTTCGAACTGCTAGGATGGCAGGAGCTGAAACTAGAGACGGGAGCTCACTCCATCATGCGGCACCCGGGTCTCAAACTGCTGAACTACTGACCTTCCACAGCCTGCAGTTCAGCGTCTTAACCACTTGAGCCACCGCAGCTCCTATCTGCCTTGATAGCTAGATGTAAGTTGCATACCTCTTAATACCAGATTCTGGAGGATGACAATAAAGGGCGGCCGGGGGGGGGGGGCTTTGGCTTCTGTGCCCCTGCCTGTGGGCTTCTGGGATATCTGGTCAGCCTCTAAGGAAAAGAGCAAGTTGGACCAGATGGACCCCACTGGTCTGATCCAGCAGGGCTCTTCTTGTGTAATGAAGCAAAGAACATCAGTGCTCCCCTGTCTGCAGTTACTCCCTATAACTCCCCGGGTTTAACACAACATATTAGTGATGATCTAAAAGGCATGGGCCCGCTGTGTGTAAGCGAATGCCACACCACATGATCTAGTATGACCATAAAGGAGAACAGTAGCATGCTATTACCAATTGTGCACCAAGTCTGTACTGCAGTGCCATGCAGGGGGCTGTCTGGAGGCTACCCACCAACTCTGTAACTCCCTTTCCCCCCAGGGACTCACCAGGGATAGGATTAAGATAAGGATATGATCACGGATAATTTGGCCTTTAGAATTATTATTTCCCCATGCAAGCCCTTTAAATAAGGCACATTATGATGCAAATCAATTAATTAAGTCAGGTCTTCAAAGTAGCTATGATTAATTGTGTGTGAATTCTCGTCTGTAGTAACTGTTAAAACCAGCAAAAATGACAACAGCAGCAAACCTCCTCCTCCAGCCCCAAACAAACCCAAAGAAACAGCTGTTTATTTAAAAAAAAAATCTAGGGGCTGTTAAGCATGAAATGACAACATGGATAGAATGTGATGTCATTTTAAAACAATACACTGCTGAATGCCATTAAAGGCAAGAGTCTGAATATTCTGTGCTATCCGTGACAAAACAAGTTTTCTTGCTTTTCTCAAAACAAAGGTTTTGATTTAAAGAAGCACAAGCAGAATGGATCTTGCCCACCTCTTCCTGATTTTGGAGCTCCCCCACCACCCTCAAAGCTGCTCCTGAGAGTCAGAGGACTTTTGGAAATGGGATAGGATGGGGAGCTTACTGCTGCTGTGGAAGTGCCCTTTGCTTACTTGGGATCCAACTATGCTTCTGAAGAATATACAGACAGCTATATAAGGTTACATGGCTAAAAGGGTGTGTAACATGTAAAGAAATACCCCCCCCCCCGCACAACAGAATCTGATTAGAAGTACAGCATACCGTACTGTCTTTAGGGACCTTCATTTTCCACACTCCTCCTTTGGCATTGCTTTCCTCTTCCCTGGTTCGTGTGGGGGGGAAAACAATCATCATTACTCAGGTCTTCATCTTGGTAATATATACATCACTGTAAGGCTGCATCTATTCATTAATTTTGTGCAAGTGGATAAAATGGTACTAGGAACAGAATTCAGTGTTCTGAAACTTTAGGCTTGGATCTTATGCCATTGTTCCCCTTGTGCTTCTCTTTGGCTGCCGCAAAAGATTTCCTCCATGGCAGCATTTACTTCCTCTGTTGCTAGGGCTTCCACATGCAAAAGAGCACTACTTTTCAAGGAGTCCTTTTACACACAGAAGGGCTAACCAGAGAGTCACAGGATCCAAACTTTCGTTTTCAACTGGAAAAAAGAAATTGCATTTACTTTTTAAGCCTTGTGTCTCTAACGAGAGGCTCACAAGTGGGTATCAAGGCCTAGTGTGTCCAGCAGCAGCTTAAAGACCAACAAGTGTTTCAAGGTATAAGCTTACAAGAGTCAAAGCTTCCTTCATCAGATACCAGATGAAGAAGAGTAGGATTTATACCCCGCCCTTCACTCAGAGTCTCAGAGCCACTTACAATCACCTTCCCTTCATCCCCCCACAACAGACACCTTGTAGGTGGGGCTGAGGGAGCTCTGAGAGAGCTGTGACTGACCCAAGGTCATCTAGCCGGCTTCATGTGGAGGAGTGGGGAATCAAACTCGGTTCTCCCGCCACTCTTAACCACTATACCGAACTGGCTTTGACTCTTGAAAGCTTGTTATCCTGGGAAAACTGTTGGTCTTTCAGGTGCTGCTGGACTCAAGTCTTGCTCGTCTACTGATGACCAACAGGGCTGCCCACCTGAAGGCATCACTAAATCTCAGAAGCCGGCAGCACGCTGAGTAGGACTTCCAGTGTCGAAGGAACAGCTGCCTCAGTGCCCTGTATCCATGCACTCTGATGGCAGTACATAAATAATAAAATATTCTTCGACATGATGGAAATGCAAACCAATTAGTAGTAGTAGTTAAGAGGCGGGGGGGGATCACTTTGACTCCAATATCTAGTTCTTGGCAAAAGGGATGGTGCTGGGGGAGTTTCGGCAAGAGGAGTGTGTGTGTGTGTCTGTGTGTAGATCTGAAGAGACACTCTTGTCGATTTTTTAAAAAACCACTGGAGAACAGGCAAGCATAGGAGGAGGGCAAAGGGCAAGCCTGTTACTTGTTTCCTCCCCCAGTTGAACCCAAACAGATGATAGCCAGAAACCAAGCTTCTCATTCTTTTTATCTGTTTAAAAATCTTCACTATTTTGCATGCTAATTTAACAAGGGACCGTCTTTCCCCATATGTTCCCCCAAGAGCACTACGGTCGGGGGCCCAAAATCTGTCAGTCATCCCGGGCCCCAAGGACATCAAATCAGCTGCTACGAGGGTCAGGGCTTTTTCAGTGGCGGCTCCTACCTGGTGGAATGAGCTCCCAGGGGAGATCCGGGCCCTGCGGGACCTTATGCAGTTCCGCAGGGCCTGCAAGACGGAGCTCTTCCGCCAGGCCTTTGAGTAGGAGCTGCCGCCCTTACTATACCACCACCGCCCTGAGGAAACATCTTAATATTGAAGAAGCCCTAAGCCGTGGGAAGTACCACTCGGAACTTCGGACCTACGATCTGCCATCTTTGGATTTATGGAAGTTACTGAGCACCATGTTTTAACTGAGGATGTTTTATGATGTATTATATGTTTTATATTATGTATATTATGTATATTATGTTTTTATTATGGCAAGGTTCTGCCTTGCCTCTGTAAGCCGCCCTGAGCCCATTGGGGAGGGAGGGGTATAAATGTGAAAAATAAACAAACAAACAAGCCACTCTGTATATATATACAGGTATGATCTGTAATTCCATTTCATTGTCTGACAAAGTGTGCGTGCCCACAAAAGCTCACACACCTTGAATAAAACTTCACTGGTCTCAACTCTGTTCTGCTTGTTTCCTCTGTTTCTCCCACACCATTAAAAAACCAACCAGCCCTCACTCTCCTTCCAGAGCGGGGTCAGAAATAAACGCCCAGCCAGGGCCAGAGCGAAACCCTTCTCCTTTAAATCCTCAGAAATGATATGAGTCAGGAGATGGCTTCCTTTCCCCCTTGGGGACCAGATCGTATTGCCACAGTGGCTGCCAATTGCTATGACAAACTACAGGAGACTGAACAAAGCATCCGTAACGTTAGGCCCATTTCAGAATTCTATGTAAAGAAATTTCCCACAGTCATCATTGCACTTTCCAAACTATTTCCACGCATTTCTTTTCTAGCCTGGATTTTTTTTCTGTACAGGAAACAAAGGAACTGAGGCAAAGTACAGAAATACACACACACATGCAGGGGTGCTACAAATCTGTATGGCTGTAATTGGGCCCCCTGAATGAAAGATGATGGCTTCTCATGTAGAGTATAGTACCTGAAGTAAAATCTTCATACTTTTATCTAGAAATACAAAGGGCCCATGCTTTATGGAACAAAGCTGGAAGTATAATTTCTGCTAAAAGCTTAGGAAACAGGGAAGGTCTGGGTGAGTTTACTGTTTATTGGTATTATTGGTAACTTAGAAGAGCTACCGAACACCATCTTTGGATCTTTTCCCTCTCGCTCCATTCCCTGACAGATCTATTCTCCTTAACCTCAACCTTTCTTTTGTAATCCCTGACCAAAAAATTAACAAAGAATTAAAAGTTCAAAAGAAGTAAATGGATTACATTGTACATAACATGCGAATTAAATAAAGGTATTCAGATATATGAACTGCAAAAATTATTCCTAAAGCAAAACTCTAGAAGGGGAGGGGAACCCAAAATAGTTTTCCAGACCCACTCTCTAGATGTAACATGAACATAAACATTTGTACCAGTCTTAGAAAATGGTATTTTCTTAAGAAAAAATATAATCATGCCTAATCTAATATTTGGCAAAGACATGCAGCTGCACACTAATGTGTAATCATAAGTAGCTCTTGTATGAAAATTTTTATTTTATTCTGAAAATTTCTTTTCTCTAGACATTTGAATCTCTGGATCTCAGATGTGAGCACAATACACTTGTTCAATTATGCTCTCCAGTTGGCAGCACTAATTATATTTCTACAAAATCAATACAATGACTTAAAAACCCTGCATTAGAATGTAACAATTATTTTATCGTGATATACATTCTATTGCCACAACTCAACTTAGTAAAAACTTTTCAGGAAACTTTGGTTTTAACAATTACTGAAACAAAAGTTTTAAAATAGTCCCGTTCCCCCCCCCTCCTAACAACAGATTCTGTAGTACTTTCAGGTATAAATCTGTATCATTACAGATTGCCAACGGTCTCCAAACAGACATTCTTCTAAAGGACTGGGTGTTTTTGAGAATGTTTCCTCTCTAATGGCAACAAAAGCAGGAACTTATGTTTAAAACTGAAAGTCTATAGGGTGGGACTGAGCTCTCAATTCCTCATTCCAGCTCTGCAGCCTTCACACTTCATTCCAGCTGCAGCCTTGCACTGGGACCCTGCCTTAAGGAGTGGCTTCTAAGAGAATGGATCTGGGCCATAATTTAGTTTCAAAAGCGTGACCAGCAAATTCCTCAACTGCAAATACCAAACTATAATCTAAATATTAACCAAACTGGATGAGTAAGAAGAGAAAGGAAAGAAGTACTTGTATGATAGATTGTGGCTTCTCTTAAAATAATTGCTACAGAAGTGTGACATTCATGCGGCCAACTTTCTGAGTCAAAATGTGAGTGCTGACTGCCTTTTCTTAAGGAGTCTTCAAAAGTAACATGCATCATTTTGAGAAAGAGTCCAGAAAATATGGCTTTTTGGAAATACAGTTGTCAAATACAATACGAACAGCTCTCTTTTCCGTCTGACATTCTGAACGAACTTATCAGTTTACTACAGAAATCAGATGATGGTGAACCAAAGCAGGAAGAAGAAGGCATCAACCCCTATTGGTATTTGCGAACGGGCTCAGGGCGGGTGTTGTGTACTGAGTCTGAGTCATCCCTGAACTAGTACCTGGATCTGGTTGAGCTTGTTTCCCTCGAACAATAGCTTACTAGGATCCTGGAGTGTGGTGGTTGCATACTTAAAAACAGGGCAGCTGCCCTGGAGTTAATCCTTGTAGTGTTCCTGAAATCACTTTAAAAAGTAGAGCTGTTCACTGCAATGCATCCAGAACCCAGCATTTAACATTGGCGAGGAGGATGGGATCCTGTTGAAGAAGAAGAGAAGAGATTGGATTTATACCCCGCCCTTCACTCAGAATCTCAGAGCGGCTTACAAACTCCTTTCCCTTCCCCTCCCTACAACAGACACCCTATGAGGTAGGTGGGGCTGAGAGACTTCTTTCCAGAACTGCCCTTTCAAGGACAACTCTGACAGACCTATGGCTTGCCCAAGGTCATCCAGCAGCTGCAAGTGGAGGAATGGAGAATCAAACCTGGTTCTCCCAGATTAGAGTCTGCACATTTAATCACTACACCAAACTGGCTCTCTGTTGAGCCAGCCCAGTGTCCATCAGCACCGCACTGGGCACCTAGTTCCAGTGCCACACGCATTTCATTACTCCCGGGACCATGGCTGCCGCTCCAGGACACTCTGACATATTACACGCCGCTGTGGAGGACTCGGACTCCTACGTCCCCCATTTCGAGTTTTTCCTCGAGTCTTCTGAGATCATTGAGGATGAAAAGAAGTGTGCTACCTTCTTCCATGTCTGCAAAAGCTCGACCTTCGAGATCGCTCGTTCGCTGCTGGCTCTAGCAGAGCTCCGAAACACTGCGTACAAGACAATTTTATTTATTTATTTTTTAAAGTTTTTTAAACGCATCCTGCCCGGAGGCTGCGGGCACTGCCCCAGGAGGGAAGGCACCCAAGAAGAAATAGCAAGACACCCCTGTGTGGAGGAGCACCATCAAGCCGAAATTCCAGCGAGCCCTCCAAGTCAACACCCCGGAAGGGTATTCGGAACACAGCAGCAAAGACAAGGACAAGCCA